TTTTTGACTATTTCAGTCACTTGTTACATAACTGCCTATTTTCACAGATATATTTGCATTAGAGATGAGTCAGTCTTGCTTATTTCAATTTTTATGAAAAACTGAAACTAGAACAGAGCTTTAAAAAGAACCAGAAAAGGAAATATGCTATTATTTCAAAACTCTTTTCAATGTTAATGGGTGAAATTTCATGTCAGGTTGAAATAAAATGAAATATTCACTTGTACCCCACATTGAAAATTTGCAACTTAATAAACTGTGTTTAAAAACCTTTAAAATTGTCTTGATCAAATAGCTAAGTAGAAGTTTTATCATAGTTTTATAAACCTCTTTTCCTTAATTTTTCTCTCTTTTTTTTTTTAGATATATTTTGATGTTAATAGTCTTTATTTCATAATAAATTTTAAAACAAAAATAGAAAAATTGAGTTTTAAACAGAATAAAAAATAATAATGAAGCAATCAGTCTAAACTCCAAAAATATTGTCTTTTTGCAAAATTTGGTGACTTTCTTAAATAATTTTTCAGAAAAAAACTGCACGACTATTGTTATTAAAATATTTTGCATTATTAGAGAATAAACTGTTTTTAATTTAGTGTCCCATGCTAAACATACATCACCTATGGGCATTGTTAACAATGCCGGTCACATTCAACTTCAATTTTATTTCTATTGATCAATGTATTATATCAAGTTTATAACTGTATATGTTATCCTATGATGATGATAAATGCTTAAATTAAAGCATTCTTTTAATTCAAAAATTTTTTATCCTTTAATGATAAGCATAAATTCTGTTGAAGAGAACTAATCATACAGGGAATACACTAGTAAAGTGATTATGTCAACTTTATTTTGGACCTTCTGCCTCTCTTCAGTCCTTTTATTACAGATCTTTGTTTTTACTTTTCCAAATGCTTTTCAATTGATGATGATGTTAACCACTCAGTCATTGCTGACCTTTGGTCACCATATGGATAACACTTCTCCAATGCTGTCTGTTCCTGACAGCTTTCTTCAGCTGCCCCATTGTCATGCCACAATCAGCCTTGTGTTCACCCAGTGACTTCTTTGTCATCCTCTTCACAAGAGCCACTGATATATCCCAACATAATATCTTTTTCCAGTCCATTTGCATGCATGTGCCCAAAATATGAAAGTTTTTGTTTGATGATCAATTATACTCATTTTATTATTTTGGGCACTTGTTATGCTCTTAAAGAGCTTTACAACAGCAATGGATTCTGCACTACCAATACAATATTGTGGAGACAGCAAGAGAAATTAGAACTGAAAGTGAAATCTGAAATGTTTGCAGAATGATTTACATCTCACAATCAGTCTCTAACCGATAAGCATTTGCTTATAACTGAAAAGCAAAGAAGCTGCTTCTTGAAATAGAGTCTGTGCCTACTTTGCATAAGTTAAATGCCAATATAAAAATTTGAATAATTTAGGCTTAACTGAAAAAAAACCAGCAGATTTAACACACTTTTTGAAGTTCTGCAGATAACAGAACAGTGTCAAATACAATTATATCAAAAAGAAATACTTAAAGAGAAAACTGTGAATTCATGAAGCAAATTTCTTTGTTATCATATTTCAAAAAAGACATCACAGCCATCATCACTGCAGCATAAAGTTGAAGAAGACAGCCTTCAACATTAATTAAGACACAGTCCTCAAGCATCTTTATCAATCTCTCCATCTTCAAACTGAATAAGATTTGTTGAAGACTCAGATGAGATTAGATCATTTCCTTCAGCCTTTCTACAATAAATATAGTTTTTTAAGTTTGAATTCATCAGTCACCATGAGAAAAAACAAAAATATTTTAAGGTAAGCAATACAGCACATGCTAAAATACATTTATTAATCATTAATTTTGTTTTTAGCATTTTTATGGGCATATTGTTATTGTGCACTTCATAAATGCCAAAGCAAACATGTTTTTAAGCTTTTTTATGCACTGGTAGGTGAAACTAAAGCTTTGCTTTAAAGGCAGTTTTTGCTTTATACTAGTGGTCTAGTCCCCATCCAACTGTATTAGAAGTGAGAATAAAATTCTTACCAAAACTTGCAAACATCAGATAATGCTTTCAAGTCCAATCCTGAAAGATGTTTGCACTGACCTGTTCAACAGACTCAAAAAGTATTTTGAAACTTTATGGAATTGTGGATGTTGGAGTTTATTTTCAATAGATTATTATAACAAAAGATAAGAGAGAGATCTATCTATTGGCATTAGAGAGAAATATGTTTAATTCATGAGTAGTTTCGACAGTATATAACTGTCCTCTTCAGGCTATATGGCAAACATTACATTAGAAATCTAGAAAAAGAACAATTTCAAATGGATTCTCATGCATGAGCATAGAACACAAATTAAAGATATAACATTACAAAATTATAAAATATTACAAAAATAATACACAATGACTATCAGTACTAAAAGTAACAAAATTAATATACAAATAAATAAACAAACTAAACACAAAAAAAAAACAGCTATACAAAAGTGCCATTCATGTTACAATGTTTTATCACGAACTACGTAACTCAAGATGTTAGAAGGTTAAATAGAACCACCCACAAATCCTGGTATATCAAGTGTGGGGGAATTCTTATAACCCTGAACCCAACTCTTGGGGATAAAGAGCTTTCTCTGGTGAAATTGTGATTTGCAGTGCTGGATATTCTCTTGCTAAGTTTTACCATCTAGTCAACCAGGTCAAAAGTGCATTACTGTATTTTCATGATCCACTTTATATTATAAGCAGGAATTAGTCTTCGTATCACCAGCCATCCTGTACCTGGGTCCTTTTCCTTATGTATTTGCCATTTTTAGAAAATATAGTTATATACTGCCATACAATTCCTCCAAACTTGATTTACCAAAGTTATGGGTAGTGCTATTTAGTTTTCTAAAATTGTAAGTTCATGATAAAACATCACAACATCAATGGTGATCCAGTATAGCTGTTTTTTGTTTANTGACCTTTGGTCACCATATGGATAACACTTCTCCAATGCTGTCTGTTCCTGACAGCTTTCTTCAGCTGCCCCATTGTCATGCCACAATCAGCCTTGTGTTCACCCAGTGACTTCTTTGTCATCCTCTTCACAAGAGCCACTGATATATCCCAACATAATATCTTTTTCCAGTCCATTTGCCATTTTTAGAAAATATAGTTATATACTGCCATACAATTCCTCCAAACTTGATTTACCAAAGTTATGGGTAGTGCTATTTAGTTTTCTAAAATTGTAAGTTCATGATAAAACATCACAACATCAATGGTGATCCAGTATAGCTGTTTTTTGTTTAATTATTGTTTAGTTTGTTATCAATTATGTTCCATGCTCGTGCATGAGAATCAATTTGAAATTGTTTTTGTTTTAGATTTTTAATGTTCTGTTTGCCATGTTGCCTGAAGAGGACAGTTATATACTATTCAAAGTACTCATGAAATAAAGATATTTTTCTCTAATGCTGATAGACAGTGTTTGTCTTATCTTTTCTTATTAGTATTTAGCATCTGTTGTTATTTACATTTTATTACAATAGGTTCTTAAAAATTAATGATAACTTTACGAATGCATGTACTGTAAATACAGTACATACTTGTAAATGTATATATTTTAATATGATTTTATGTGCTTTAAACGCTTTTCTAGTGATATTGCGACTTCAATATTTGTGGCGGACAGACGTAAAGTCGAATAAAATGACTTAAACTTGATTTTTATTTTTCCATATACTTTTTTGACAAACGANCCACTCTAAAACGTCATTTTTCTCACCCAAACGAAGTAATATTTGGGGACAATATTTTAACATTATTAATAAAAATTATTAAATTAGACCCAGGGGCCTTTCAGGTCTCACAGTAAAAAATAAATTGTTTCTGTCAGATAATTATTGTATATACAGTATAATTTGTTATGTGAATTCAAACTTATCAGTATGTCTTTCCTTCTTGAATAAATGAAATTTTTCTTCTATTGTTCTTTAAAATTATTAAAAGAATTTCTGGCTTCGACTACACTAAGGCTAACTAAATTTGAATTTCACAGCCTTTCGTGAAAATGTAAATGTCGCGAAAAAAGTTTATAGTGAGATGATAAACAAAAACTTATTGTTTGCGAAAAAATCGCCAAAACAACGTTTGAAAAATAATGAAACATAAGAACGTTAAGCACAGCCGCCATTAAAGTGACTAGTGACATGTTCTATTGAGTATTATCTACCAAAATTAAGCATTTTTCTATTTAATAACAATTAAAAATATATAAAGTTTTTATAACAAAATGTGATAACAGATGGAGCAACACACAATTTTATTTATTTATTTATAATAATATAAAAGTTATTTTTTAAATCAAATCTAATAACGGCCAGGAAAGTTACACTATTCGTTGCTAGATTTTTCCATTTATTAAAAGGTATTTATTGGTTTTAGCTTAAAAACATGCTTTAAAAACAATAAGACTAAAAATTTTAAATTGCTGATTTCGTTTTTTTTTCTCTTTATACGTCTTTTATCGGAGATAAAGAACTTACACTAAGTATCCTTGTTGTAAGTTCACAAGGATACTTAGTGTAAGTTCTTTGCCTCTGATTCGTCTCATACAAATGGAACTATTTGTCTAATAATCTATTTTCGTCCACATTGATTTCAAGCTGTGCAGTTATCAAATAAATTTTCCTATTGCCAATAAAATCTCATTAGTTCTGAATTTCATTATCAATAATGGGATTCAACTCATTCTATCCGTTTACATTGGACCTCGAAAGATTTCTAATAAATTTATAAATATCCTGAATTATATAATACATAATTATATATAGAATTATATAAACATTGTGGGCTGTGTCCATACTCTTAAAAGTATAAACGATTTAGTAGTACTCGAGAGAATCACGATCTATTCATGCTATAACGCAGAAACTAGCATTAACATATTTTAATTTTGAAAGAAAATTATCATTTAAAATACCCGAAGAAGTTCATTTATATTCACATCAAATTTAAATAATTGGGATTATTGTTTAATTTCGGCAAGAACAAACATGGAAGAAGAGATTGAACTGTGTTTGAGATGTTATCTTCGACCGTTGCTATCCATAAGCTTAGTGTTTGGTGTGGATCCTTTCTCCCAATGCAACTGCCAATGTTCCACTAGAAGAAATCTTCTGACCAAGTTCCTGAAAGCCTTTTATTTCGATTTGGTAGAATACATTTCCTATCTTTATTTATCTGTATTCGTTCTACTTAATTTTCCAGGAATGGACGAATATGTTCCGTGTTCTGCAGTTTTCAAGATAATTGGGGTAGACACAACTATTCTGAAATTAGCCATTACTCTTTACATACTGATGTATACGTTAATGAATAGTTCGATGAAAAGAAAAAAGATAAGTACAAGAATTAAACTAAGAAATATTACGAATTATGATAGAGAACGTTTGAATGATGGATTAAAAATGCATTGCATGTCTGCAATTTTTGCAATTTCTTGTTCTATCGTAGCAAATCGAATTCTAATTACTTTGTTTTTTTATTTCGCTTTCGAAGCGGGATATAACTCATACTATGAAGCCATTTTGTGTAATGTAACAACGGGGTTGGCTATAACATATTTATCTGCTGGACAACAAAGTATGGTACATATTTTTATCTTTGTTGTTACGATAATTAAAACTGGATTTTTAAGTTTATCCAAAGAACTTCTATTAATTAATAAGAACGGAAGAAATTTGTTTTATCAAATAGAATCGCTAATCCTTTGTCACGACCAACTGTGGTTATTTATTAATCACACCAACAAAGTCTATGGCGTTACTTTTCTTGTAAATTATTTTGTTCTGATGTTCCTGACTTGTTTATTTATCTATAATTTATTATTCATAAAAATGCATACAATCGCGACTTTATTATTCTTGTTTAATACTGCAGTTTTAGGTGGAGCTTGCCTTATAGTCGCATTTTTATTGTCTGGATTCGTTGCTGCAGTAAGTTTTTGTCATTGATTATATAACTGCGTATCTTGAAATAAATTAATACTTATCGTTTCAGATGCAGAACGGCTTCCAAGACATTCGAAAATTTGCAAATTGTCGTTTGGAGCTTGAAGAAAAGCTGAAAGTAAGTACTGTATTTTATGCAAATGCTATAACATAAAATTATTAGACGTAAATCGGTAGATTCATTTTTATGATAAATAAACCTAGTATTAATTTATGTAAGTGATTTCCTTCAACAGGTTTTGAATTTTATGAAGAGATTCGGGAAAGCTTCTTTATCGATTTCAATGGAAGACTTCTTCAACATAACAAAGAAATTTCCCATCAAGGTAAGAAGTCGAATTTTTAAATGCAAGTCATTTTACAGTGTCGTTGCATAACAGTAATTAATTACATAACCATTACTTCTGATCCCTTCAATCTCTCCAATAAGCTATAAGAAATTATTGTATTTTCTTTCACAATAGTTTATATCAGAGTATATTTCATTTGCTTGTTTACTACATTTATTCTATAAAAGAATAAACTATAAATAATATTTTTTTTTATCATTAGTGTAACACCGTGACAAACCGATAATTGTAAGTTTGCTAATCAAAGACAGATACTGAGCTTAAATAAAAAAACTTATACGACCAATCAGAATATTTATAACGCATTTATGTAATTTTTAATATGCTTAAAAATCTCTTATTGTACCATATTACATAGTTGCATACAGAGGGAATGCAATAAAGTTAGCTAAATTGATAAATTTAACTTCATAAAATTTCTTACGTATTAATTCACTTCCCATATTTCCTCATAAGTTACGTTTTTCTATTAGTTTTTACTTTTTAACTAGCGTAAAACCTTCGACAGATTTTCGTGTTTATAGATATGTAGACGTCGATTAAANACATTTTTATTTTACATTTTTCAACAGTTTAATAATAACTGAAATAATCAAATTTGTAATTATATCTAAAATGTGATCATGGTGTAAATACTCAAACACCTTCAGTTCTGGTTCCAGCAGGTATATTTATTAGAAAAATTGATTGTTTTTGATTAGGACTGCCACTAGCAACTGCGGGGCCCAGGTCAATCAAAGTACAGTACAGGGCCCTTGAAAAATATACATTATATAACAGGGGTGGCCAAGCTCCTTGATAGTCCGAGCCATTTTTCAAAATTAAAATTTTTCGCGAGCCGCAATTAAAGGTATGCAAAAAATTCCAATTACAAAATATATCCGTAGCAAGAGTGATACAACTTGTTTCCTCCAGAGCACAATGTCAANTTAGAATTTTTAATAGGTTTTTTTTGTTATTGTTTTATCTGAACTTTTGAAAAGTTCACCTCTCTTCACTTGTAAACTCAATACAAATTCCCATTTTTATTCATAAAACACGAAAATATTATTTAAAATTCCAGTTTCTAAGTAATAAACGAAGAAAATATCTGAAATTTCCAAAAGTATATTAAGAATTAAATATTTTATCGATTCAATTCTCAAATGATTACTTTTTTTTTATCCCAATTTGACGTCCAGTTTGTATTTGAAGAGTGTAATATGTTTAACGAAAGGAAGAGAAAAATTATTTATTTATTTGTTACATTTAAAGTACTTTAGTATTTTGGAATTACTGCTGTAAAATATTTGCAATTTGTTTCTTTGCAGATGGCCAATTCTCTGTATTCGATATACTCCAGTCTGTTGAATTTGAGAAGCATCCAAGAACGATGCACAAAAAAGTCACTTTTTGATATAATAAAAGAAGATTTTGAAATAAATTAAAGAATTACACATGATTAATTAAGAGAATACAAAAAATTTTATAGTTGAACATTATTTAAAAAGAATTATATTTGAATAATGGACACGTGTTATTTTTCGTATTTACTTGATTGTATGAATTGGATGTGATTTTTTTCTTTTTATTGTTCATTAGAATTATTATAGAATTTTATATTTAATTTATTTATGGATGATTTATAGCGTAGTTAACGATTCAAATAATTATAACAATTATCATCAAATTTTAGTGTAATTAAGCATTCAAAAATGTAGAATAGTAAAATTTCAGCTTATTGTATTTGTAATAGAATTAAATAGAATATATTTGTGTTACATTGTATCAATGTTTGTTTCTCTAACTAAAGAAAGTTAAGAATCAATAATTAAAAATCCAGCAATGAATTGCTTAACTTTTCCGGCAACAATTAAAACTGCGTGCGTGGTGCCATCTGTTATAATATTTTATTTTAAAAATTTTTATATTTTTAGTTATTATAAAATGGGAAAATACTTAATTTTTAGAGTAGGGATGGGTTGTANTTTTCTTTCAGAATGAATTGAATTACAGCACCGTTCAGAAATTACAATATCCGCATCAAGCATTTAAAGAAATGCTTCGACTTTATCCTCCAGTACATTTGTAAGTACTCATTTACATATTATCTGTCAGTTAGTATTCCCGGAATAGGTGAAAATTAGTTTAGAAGTAAAATAGTTAATATAATTTAAGTATCAGAAGATATAACAAATAAAATTTGCATGGCAATATCATACAGTAAACTATACTACGAAAAATTCGAACCTCCAATAACGTCAATTCTCTCTAAACGGCGGCCATTTTTTCAGGAACGTTTTTTTTTTTTAGCAAAAATACATATAAAATAATCTAACAATAGTTATTATCAACAATCAGGGTGTGGTAGACATTAAGAAACGAAATTTGACACGGTGGCTTGTATATGAGAGGCATTGATGCTATTAAATTTTGGTAGTTAAAGGTCCAGGGAGTGGGGAAGTAGAGGAGAGTCGTGTGTTGTATTTCGAGAGATGTAGGACTTAATAAAGATTTTATTCGTTATTAACATTTACACTTTTCTTTTTCATAAAACCCATCCCTACCCTCAAAATTAAGCTTTTTGCCATTTTATAGTAATTAAAAATACAAAAAGGTTTTATAAAAAAAATCTTATAACAGATGGCACCCCACATAATTTTATTTAATTTGTTTAATAATATAAAAGTTATTTTTAAAATAAAATCTCATAACAGCCGGGAAAGTTATGTAGCTCGTTGTTGTATTTTTTTAACTTCTCAATAACGGACATTGCACTAAAAATCCATCTCAGCCAAGTTGATGGTGACGTAGACGACACGATGTTACAAAAATTACCGTGATAGATGAACTAGTCAATAACACCAATATAGTTTCAACAAAAAATTCATACACAGAAGTCCTTACATTATGTAATTACCGTATTTACAATGGAAAGTGTTATAAACATTCGAAAACAATCCGTCTTTTACCACTGTTTGATGACTTGTTTTTCTTCTTTCAGAACAGTTTGAAGGCTAAGTACATAAGTCAAGTATTTCTTTCAAGAACTATTGTGTTTGGTAAACAGCAATCTTAAACAGAACTGAATTTACCGCGCCCTCATGATTTGAAATTTCATTACTGTATACTTGTTTAGTTTTCTTACGTTAAGCCCTGGGTTCCCAAGTGTTAAGTGCCCACAAAAATTAAATTATCATCATAAATTTTTAATACTTTTTCATTAACAATGAGCACTTATCGTATTGTAAAAAAAGTTAATAGGTAATGTTAGGTCCTGAAAAATCTAGATCTGCCCCTGAGTACAGATATCATTTATTGTGTAAACTAGTGTTTTGAGCTTCTACTTTGAACGTTAATTTTATTTCGAAATTCTTTCAGTTTCTTTTAGAACTGGAATTGATTTCAACTACTTTGAGGCCTAAACATGGTGTACGTATCAAATTGCAACGTTGCTTCGACAACTAACTCGATACGCTCGTATAAAGTATAATATTTTGAAAGTTGTTTTTCAACTTTAATAATTAATTAATTAATATAAAATCAATTATAACGGTAGGACGATGCCTCAATCTCTTGGCTATCCAGCTATTATTATGGGTTATATAAATCAATGGACGAAAAACAATGTTTTAAATTCCTACATGCAATTTTCTTGTGGAAGTGCAGTATTTTATATTACTTAAATTCGGAAACAACTGGTTTAACAATTTCTTCGACTTCTTTTTATTTTATCACTTTAAAGAATTATATAAATATAATTGTACTTCACTGTTTAGTGATAATATACAGGGTGACCCAAAAGTCAATTAACCATCGTAAAAAGTTAACTTTCTGCTTTACTAAAATACGATTTTTAATCGATCATTTAAAAAAGATTTACCAAATGCTTAATTACAATACGAGTATATAGAGTGATCCCAAAGCTAGCTAACCTAAATACATATATATATATATATATATATATTATCAGTTATCTGACTTTTGGTCCACTCAGTATTTTTAAAATCACTTTAGATAAAACAAATAAGAATTGATAATGATTTTGCTATGTCATCAGCTATCGGAAATTGCTTTATATCTAGGCTAATTGATAAATGAGTTGATTTGTTTTCGTCGCCACCCACTTTAACATTAGAAATTTCGCTATGTTTGCATATATTTTGCTTTCTGTTTTTTCCTTCATTCTATGCTTTTGGTATCTGTAAGTATACAGCCCATTAATTTTTCGTGTTTAAACTTCTCTCACCCAAATTAATAGAAAATAAATGCAGATAAACCTTCGTAAACCGGAATTGCATGGTATCGAATTTTGTTTTCTCGTTTCGACAGGTTTCCTCTTTAGACAGGTTTTACTGTAACTATAATTAGATGTAAAACTGTATTCAAATTTATCCATTAAATACAATTTCTGGCATTTACAGATAAATGCATAAAATATATATAACAATATAAATAAAAAAATGGCGTATAAAGACATGTGACATATTGAACTTCCTTATAGATATTGTTATGATTTTGAATTAAGCATTAAGATTATGACTTTATCAAATAATTCGAACATTAATAATTGTATTTATTTTGTAAATATCAGAAAAAAATGGCTTGGCACAATCACTTAGTTGACATTGATAACATTATTGTATACTGTATTTCCCTCATTAATGTATAAAGTAACCTACACGACTTAATAATTTGCATTGTGTCCAAGATCTCAATTAGAAAACAGCTTTTAATTTTATTGTTAATTTTAATTTGTCATTTAATAAATATGAAGTGTTTCTTTCTTTTTGCAAAATTACATATTAATTAATAAGAAATCTCTGTATGAGGGTTGAAGACGTATTAAAAGTCTTATATTAAGTTATTAAAACTAAAATTCTGTATATAAAGTATCGTTTCAAACATGTCACCATTTTATTTGTATTTTGTTTTATTTGTTAAACTGAAATTTTTATTAATTCTTCCTTTCTGTAGGAAGAGGAAAAAACATTTTTCTTTGTTTCGAAAGTTGGGTATTCCCGGTCCTCCTCCAAATGTATTTTTTGGAAATTATTTGGAAATATTCTTAAAGGTAAAGATTAAAACTTAATACTGTATTTTAAATTAATCAATATACGATAATCTAAAATTTCTTCAGGGAAGCATACAACCACAAAAACAATGGATATCCAGATATGGTAAAGTACTCGGGTAAATAAAATTTTACATTTAAATTCATAAATATTAAAGTATACTCGACGTTACAATTGAAATTCTTTTAATTGCTCTTTTTAACACTTTTAATTAATTTAGATATTATCATGGCGAGGTTCCAGTTTTGCTAGTGGCGGATGCAAATTTATTGAAGAATATATTGATCAAAGATTTTCAGAAATTTATAGATCGATCTGTAAGGAAATTCTGATATTATTATAAAAATTAACGAGAAATTATCTAATTTCTTTGCATAATATTTTTAGACACTAGTGAGAGAAAATTCAACTTTCGGACGTGCATCTCAACACTTAATTTTTTTGAGAGGAACGAAATGGAAACAACTCAGAAGTGTTATGACACCTTCTTTTACCGCGAGCAAGATGAAAATGGTAAAGACATCACACATTGCAACTTATAAAAATATAAAGAGTAATTCATAAATAACAGTAGAATGTATCTCAATTGCAATATCAATTACTAAACCGAAGTGATGCCTTTTATACTAAGAAATTTATATTTATATTTTAATTATTTCAATTCAATATGACACGCTTGCTTCTTATAGTATCGATTCGATGTTAAAAAACATTTGTTTACTTTGTAGATGTCACCAATGATAAATGATGCCATTAAAGAACTATTGGAAAATTTTGAGAAATTTTGCCAGTCTGGAGAAGACTTTGAAGTATATACATTGTTTCAAAGGTTAACTTTAGATGTGATTGTTAGAATTGCCTTTGGAATTCAATCTAACGCACAGAAAAATCCGAAAGATCCCTTATTTCATTTGGTTTATCTTATGTTTCATATTCCGTTTCGATTCTTGTTCTCTCTTTTAGCAAGTAAGTTAATTTTATACAATAATATATAATAATTTTTAGTATAAATCATTAAATTAAAGTTTATTAGAAGTAGTTAACATCCTAATACAGTTTGGCTATTTGTTGACAGAAGGCCATTTTGTTTACTCACTGTAATTAAACATCAAATATTTTATATTTCAAATTTTATGTTTTTATTACTTACAAATTTATTTTTAGAAGAAAAATTTGTCATGGCAACAGAGTAAATTATTTCTGAGTAATATATTATGCAAATATAAAAGAAAAGAAAAGGTTTTACGAAAAAGAAATTAAATTAATTTGCGTAAAATATTTGTTTTGCAAAACAAATATTTTGAATATGCTTATGTCAAAAGAATAATTTCAGTTTTCATTATTTAATATTTTCTAATATTTAATTCGGATGAGCACAGAACTTGGTCGCACTGATAATTGGCACGAAAAAAAGGCTCTAAGAGTGCATTTTTTTTCTCGTGCCCATCATCTATTCTAGCATGGTCTCTATGGGAGTGGTCGTGTGTTAAAGAACAAGACTGATATATCCGTAACAGACCAAGAAAAATTTTTAATTTCTGAGGCTCTCGACTGAAATCCCCTTCAAAGTGATAACCTGACGACGCCCTTCACCTTCAGGAAAGTCAAATGTCTTGCATGTTATAAAAGGCTCAAGTGTTTAAAAAAAATCCGTTCCCAAAGAACTAGAAAGCGAACTTAAAAATTGCTTTTTAATTTCATTTTTTTGATAAAGAATATATTACGATAAGCCATAGATTAAAAAGAAAACAAATTTAGTTTTAACAAATGATTTTGCTTGTCCACTGAAAATTTATAAAAGTCTAAATTTGGCATACGAATAGCCATTTAGAAATGTCAAAGTACGGTGCACGACAGAGTTTTCCGAAAGTCAAAGGCTTCGTTATAGCCTATGGAATTTCTTGGTATGAGTAGAAATTTTTCATTAATTAAACAGAAATATTAATACTTTTGAACACAGTTATCGTATTTTCATAACATTTTCATTTATTTATAGAATCTTTCGGTTTTCTTCAACCGTTTTTGGGAATAATTCGAAAATTAACTGCAATCATCGGAAATAAAGGTACTAGTCCACTAAATGATCTTATCAACAAATGCGTAGCCATTGTCAAAGCTCGTCAAAATGATCCAACGGTAATAACAAAAAAATTTCTCTATCATTTTTCAACGATTTTTCTAATTTCTTTTAATTTATTTTACAAAATACACAGCTATGAAAACCGGATCTTCTGCAACTGTTAATCGATGCGGAAATTAAGGAAAATCTCAACGTTGATTACCAAGATTTGGCTGCTAGCGATAACGTAGAAAAAGAAGTTGATGTTAAGAAAGTGAAGAATGGTATCTATAATTTAAGTTTTGTATTAAATCATTATTAAATTTTAACGAATAATTGGAAATTTTCAACAGAAACCGTCAAATCGAGACGTTTGACTATGGATGAAATGACATCAAATGCATTTATAATACTTTTGGCCGGGTGAGAACAGTTATTTAGCGTATTTCCATGGATTTTAATCGTTATATGAATATAAATTTGTTAAATTTTTAATGCTAAATATCTTTCGAACGATTTAGATACGAAACCACGAGTACAGCTCTGGCTCTTTGCACTCTGATGTTAGCTAATTTTCCCGACGTTCAGGAAAAAATAAGAAAAGAAGTAAAAACTCTGATAGAAGAAGAGGTAAATTTATGAAGAGCAATCATATTTACACAGTAATTACAGTTTGTACTATAAAAAATATTTTGTTTTCTTTCAGAATGAATTGAATTACAGCACCGTTCAGAAATTACAATATCTGGATCAAGCATTTAAAGAAATACTTCGACTTTATCCTCCAGTATATTTGTAAGTATTAATTAACATACTATCTATCAGTTAGAATTCCCGTAGTAGATGTAGATCAGTTGTAAATTAGATAATTATTGTCAAAATAGGGTCTTTAATTATTCTAGATTAAAAAGGAACCATTGAAATAAATCTGCATGAAACAAAATTAACATAAAAGAGGTTTTTTTCTTTTTAAAGCAACGAACATGAATTCATGAATATCGCAAATATAAAAATTATATTATATTAAATATTCGTTTATCAGATTCGTAGATCGTGAAGCTAACGAAGATGTTGTTTACGGCGACATTTTCATTCCTAAAGGGATGATAGTGCAAGTTCCCTCCTTTTTGTTACATCGCGATCCGGATTATTGGGATCGACCCGAAGAATTTCGTCCCGAAAGGTAAACTGAAGAGTTTTTAATTGAAATTTGCAAATTTACTCAATATTTCGTAAAATATTTTCGTTTCAGATTCGCACCGGAAGTTGCCCGTAAAAATAATCCTTTGGCATGGCAAACTTTCGGAGCTGGACCCAGAAATTGTGTAGGAATGAGATTTGCACAGATGGAAGCAAAATTAGCTTTGGCTCACATATTAAATAAATACCGCATATTACCTTACGAAAAGACCGATAAGGTAAGAGAAATATTAATTTTATTAATTAATAGTACGAATAATAATGAATATTTTATCATTTTCCTATTATAAATTGCACCCCCTTTCTATAAATAATAATTTTTATCTTCGAATTCTTTCAGTTTCCTTTCGAACTGGAATTGACTCCAAATGTTATAAGACCTAAACGTGGTGTATATATCAAATTACAGCGTTGTTCAAACAACTAAATCTTCATTCTTAATAAATAATGAATTAAATTAAAGAATATCTAAATAAATAAAGTTGCTTTCTGTGACATTCACAGCCATTAAGTTTAATTAAAAATTAACACACACTGAACAATATACTGATAACGAGTAAAATCGTTATTAAATCCGACCCGACTTGAGATACGACACATCAACCCTCTTTATCTCCCCACCTTCTTGACCTTTAACCACCAAAATTTAATCGTATTAATTCTCCTAATACTTAATTACCACTGTTCACTCCACATAGGTGAGTGTTTCGTGCTATCCATCCCAGTAATGATATACCGCAACCTATTTTGTCATTTAGTATTATCGTTCTAAATTGTCTGCCAACAGAGGGCCAGCAAATCGTATGTAGACAGAAATTAATTCCTATGTAGAAATTAAATCAATATATAGGACATTACTTAATTTATAAGTGTGTTAACGTAACTGCCGAGTTTTATAGCAATTGATCGAAAGGTCTAGGGGTGAATAGCGAACAAACAAACAAACATCCTCATTTATAGTTTGTAGTTTGTAAAGAAATGGCCTTAACTCGATGGTATAGCCAGAAGGAAAGAAAGAGGGAGGGATGGAGATAGGGTGGGGTGAAGGGTGGGGAGTGGGTGGGAATAGGAAGGAAAAGAGCGAAGGGGATAAGAAGAGAATAAGGGCACTTGCCGCGAACCGTCCGTACGGAGGGGATAAATTACGAATAGCGTGTAGGGTTAAAAGACTGCGTGAAGGATACAGAGAGTAAAGATGGTGCCTTTGATAAGCATGACCAATAGCTAGAGAAAAATAACACAAGGTGCCAGATGGAGTATGAACAGGGAGGCACCTTAATAGTTGGGTGCAATGGAGTAGGTGGACGGATACAGTCAGGTTAGAGTCAGCGAGTCATAGGAACTCGAGGGTGAGGGAGCTGGAGAGAAGACTATGTTAGGTGCTGGAGGGTTGTAGTCCGTGAGGTGGAGTTTGTTAACATAGTTAATGAAAGCCATAAACGTGTCCTTGTCTTCGATGAAGGCACTGAGGTGGCAGGGCCAGTGGTGACCATTGTTTGTTAAAGTTTCTTTCAGATGTTGGCGGTGCACGGTGTGTTTCGGACAGGTAAAGATGAGATGGAATGGGTCATCTTTTTCTTTGATGGTACAGTCACAGAGACCGTCACCCTTATTCAGGAAGCGGTGCAGGTAGCTTTTAAAGTTCCCATGTGCTGTTAAAATCTGGGTAAGAGCGTGATTTGTGCTCAGGTGTTTGAGGTTGGATCTATGGACATTTATGGATCCTCATTTATAGTCTACTTAAAGATATAGAAAAATGTATTCATAGAATTTAAACTCAATATGTTTTTCCTTCTTGAATAAATAAAAATTTTTCTTCGTGTTCTCGTTTTATTCGACAATTCCACAAAAATATTACAAGATTTTTAATTTATCTTACAATTACGAATTACTGTATTACATAACATTCAACTATATGAATTTTTAAAAACATTTCTATTAATGCTCATGTTTACTCTATGAACTAAGACATTTAAAGTAAATAAATAAATAAAAGGAGCTGTCTTTTAGAAATTCAATTGTTTATCAACGAAAACATTTCGTATCCTGTCCTTCAGTATTTAGTAATATGAATCTTTCCATTGAATAAATATTGCAATAAATTGTAGAAAATTCCCTTCATCTCTTAATTATAACATTCCATTGACGATCTATTATGACAATTTCAGAATATTTTAAAGATTTCTAATACCATTGTTTAAATATTCACATAAATCTTTGCTACACGAGAAGATTCCAGTAATATTTTTGCATTTTACCAATGAATTATTAAATATCGTATCTCTAAACTCAGAATAACCGAAAGTTACAGAATTGTAGGACTGAACATTTAAATTATATAAGACCTTCAAATCGATTTTACCCAGCATCAACAGTTAAAAGAAAGTTTGTAGAAGTCCTGAAATTCATCTTCTATTAAGTATATCTTATGATTTATTTCGATTAAAATCAAACATGGAACAAGAAATTGAACTGTGTTTGAAATGTTATCTTCGACAGTTGCTATCCATGGGTATGGATCCTTTCTCCCAATGCAACTGCAAATGTTCCACTAGAAGAAATCTTCTGACCAAGTTCCTGAAAGCCTTTTATTTCTATTTTGGTGGAATACATTTCCTATATTACTTTATTTATATCTCTTCTATTCAACATTCCAGGAATGAACGAGTGTGTTCTTTGTTCCTCAGTTTTCAAGATAATTGAGGACGACACCACTATTCTGAAATTAGCCATTACTCTTTCTTTGCTGATATATACGTTAACAAATAGTTTCGTGAAGAAAAAAAAAGATGAACACAAAAATTAAATTAAGAAATATCACGAATTCGAATAGAGTACGTTTCCATAATCAATTGAAACTTAGTTCCAAGACTACACTTCTTGAGATTTGTTGCTCCATCTTAGCACTACGAATTCTAATTTCCTTGTGTTTTATCTGACATTCGAAGCAGGATATGAATCATACAATGAAGCACTTTTCTGTAATGTAGCAATGGGAATTTCTATCACGTATTTCAATACAGTACAATTAATTATTTGGGATGTTTTTGTTCTTATCGTTTTGATACTTAGAACTGGATTTCTGAGTTTATCCAAAGAACTTTTATTAATTAATAAAAACAGCAGAAATTTATTTTATCAAACAGAATCGATAATTCTTTGTCACGACAAATTGTGACTGTTTATTAATCACATGAACAGAATCTACGACTTTGTATTTCTTGTCGAGTATTTTATACTATTGCTGCTTACGTGTTTATGCATTTATAGTTTATTATTTATAAAGATGAATACAGCCGTGACAATAATATTTATAGTTGCAACCTGAATTTTAATATCAGCATGCCTTTTAGCCGCCATTTCGATATCTGCATTTATTGCGGCCGTAAGTTTCTTCATTGATTATATAATTGTTTGTCTTGTAATAAATGCATATTTATTGTTTCAAATGCAAAATGGCTTTCAAGAGATTCGAAAATACGCGAACTGCAATTTGGAGCTGGAGCAAAAGCTAAAAGTAAGCATTTATAAGGTGTATATGATTATAAAAGTACAGTAGAGCGTCGTTTATCCGAAGGTCGGTTATCCGAAAGAATTCCAGTCGACAAATTTAAATTTTCGCCAGTGCTGTGGCGCTGTAATCTTTGGCTATGTCTTCGGCTACTCAAATATTTTACGTTTTTGATACTAAATTAACTTCTGAAGTATAATTTTTTATTGTTTTTATATTTTTCAATATATTTATTTTGTTTGTACAAAATAAAAAAATAATTTTTAACGATACAATAGTCTTCGTTAGGCTTAACATCGACGAAAATTCAACGCGAAGCGACACGCAACGGAGAAAAATTTCAACACGGGATAAATTAATATATTTTTTCGTACATAATTGGTTATCCGAAAAATAAATTATCTGAACAACCCCAGTCCCCAATTGATTCGGATAAACGACGCTCTACTGTAGTCACTTAAAAGTCTTAAATATTATTCATAAATATAAAGCAATGAAAATAATTATTTTAGACTTTTCTTTTTATATAAAGGCATTATATTTGAATACCCAATAAAGTTACTTCCTTTGTTAATTAATTTAAAAAGTACAGTCTGGTAACTTCAAAATTATAAGCACGGATCAAATAACTACAGTATTATAAATTGTAATTTTTAACATTAGAATAAAGATTCGTTCTCGGACAATGCAATAATAATACGAACCAGTTTTTTTTAAAGTTAAATAAATCCATATCTTTTTGTTTTTCGAATTTAATATTTTGCATTTCAATCGATATTAAAATATTATTAAGTGCTAATACGCTTATTTTATTAATTCATTAATTACTTGGCTATTCGTGTACACCATTCAAATAATTACAAATTATTCGTAATGAGCAGAATATCGACATTTGATGGTTTTTTTTGACAGGAAACATAATCTCTGGTTTAAAAATGTATGGAATTTTCAATTTGGCGTAATATTTTAAATAGAATTAAATTAGAAAGTTGTGCGAAAACGTTATTTAAGAGGCAACAATAATAACAGAAAAACCTTTCTTTGAAATTCAGCAAACCATTCGCTTCATAGGTTTATAGACTCAGAGGTAAGCATTTATGGTAATTATTAAGCATTTAAAATTACTTAAATGTTTAATAAACACGTCATTTTCATAGAAATTACGCCCTGTAATGTTAAAAATATCTTCTAGCCATACAATGTGGCCATATCGCTTATTATATCGGGTAACAGAGCACAAGGCATTTTTACACGGTTATCAAACATGATACTTCAAAGTATTACTCTGAAGTATCATGTTTGGTAGGTAGCAAAGTAAGTTTTCTGGTTAATGTTTAGGGTCGTAAACTGTCATGGCGTCTCTTCCTGTTTTAGCCTCGAAACCGGACCGCTTTGGAGACGACGTTTCACGTGACGACGCGAGCGAACGGCGGCGGCTGCTGCGCCGCGATAAACGGGGGATAACCGACGCGCGGGTTAACGTCCATATACGTAGACTCATGGCGGCTCATCTCTGATTCCGCAAAAAGAAAAGGAAACAGTGGGGACGCACGTTCTAACCTAACCTAACCTATTCTAATAATTTAATCGGTAATAATTGTGGTAATTTATTAGAATAGGTTAGGTTAGGATAGAACGTGCGTCCCCACTATTTTCTTTCGTTTGCTGGAATCAGCGGTGAGCCGCCAGCGCTGCCGCGGCGCAGCAGCCACCGCCGTTCGCTCGCGTCGTCACGTGACACGTCGTCTCCAAAGCGGTCTGCTTTCCAGGCTAAAACAGGAAGAGCCGCCATGACAGTCTACGACCCTAAACATTAACCAGTTTTCTAAGTTCCTTTGCTACCTACCAAATCCATTATATGTAAATTTAATATTAAAAGTGTTTCATCATTTATGAAATACGATAATAATTATTAGTCATGATAAATAATACAAAACTGCAGCGTCATTCATTACGTTATCTGTAAGCAAACAAAGGGTATATACTGTATTATGAAGTTCACTTCATCTGATAAAAGACAATACTTTAACGACACTCCTACTTTCTCTGCTGTCTCGTAATGTTTTTGCAAATATTTTTACCAGTTTTCTCCATTTTGTTGTATTTATGGTATCAGTAAGTAGTACAAATTTTAATTAATTAATTTCTAAGCATTAATACGAAAAATTCAGCCGAAAGCATTAAAAAATTTTTTCTTTAGTTTTAATATAGAAATCGAGATGTTCTGTTGTTCTATTGAAAGTCAAACAGTTTAGACCGGTCTGTCAATACTTTTATTATTAGATTATCTTAAATTTTGTAAATTATTTGTATAATGTTATAATGTCTGAGATTTTTTAATCGTTTCATTTAAATCACATATATTAATTGTCCCAGATGAAATGAAATTTTAATAGATTTTAATTGTGAGTTCAATATTTATACATTTTTAATATTGCTAGGTAATACGATTTTAATACTGTAGTTGCTACATACTATGGTTTTAATGTTGATACTGAAAGCCAATGAGGTAGCCCGTTTTATTTAAAACGAACTGTGTTATTGGCTTGCTGTATCAAATGGTATTCTAATCAGCTTATAATTATAATGTTTTTTTATTTTCATTTTTTATCTGTATATAAACAAAAGAATACAAAGAAATCGATAAAGAGTAGGAACTATGTGCAATATTATATCAAAATAACGGTGTTTTGATCAAACAAAACTGTCTTTACACGTATATTTTAATAAACTTTTTCTTTTATTATTATTTTTAAAAAGTATTATAGTTCTTACACATATCAAAAGAATACGGCGAACATTATAAAGATTTTATACTCTCATAAAATGTCATTTACACAATCTCTAATATTTATTAAAGAACATTCTATAAAATTTTAATTAAAATTTATTCAGAAATGTTTACAAATATTTCATATAAAATTATTTGTGAAATTGTTATTAACTATAATAAAAACTTCTTATCACAATGACGAAATCCTACCGGCTTCTTTACAATTATCGTTGGATAATTCATTCATTTTCTCATTTGTCTAGAAAAAGAAGGAAGCAGTTTTCAGTTTTCAATAAAATCGGAATTTCCGGGCCTCAACCAAACATATTTTTTGGAAATTCGTTGGAATTATTTTTAAAGGTAAATTTTAAATACATTTTAAATTTAACGTTATTAAGATAATTATAATTTGTTTTTATAGGGACCTTTACGGACCCACAAAGAGTGGATTTCCAAATATGGCAAAGTTCTAGGGTAGGACAGCTTTATCCTTGTTTATTGTTTATTATAATAAATATAAATATTATAAATTAATATAATTTCAGATATTATTATGGCACGACTCCGGTTTTGTTTGTTACAGACACGGAATTATTGAAAAATATTCAAATCAAAGATTTCCATAATTTTTCAGATCGAGCGGTGAGGAAAGTTTATTTTAACATAGAATAGTACTCTAAAGATTTTGTACAAGAGAAAAAATTTTTAGATTCTCCATACAGAAAGCAAAGAGCAACCTTCAAATCGATTAGCTCATAATTTACTTAATTTGAAAGGTGCAAAATGGAAGCAGATGAGAAGCGTAGTTACACGTTCTTTTACCACAAGCAAGATGAAACTGGTATAAAAGTATAAAATCGTTATAATTTATACTATAGCAAGTATATATAATTATATATAACATTTAATATTATGCATTAGATGTCGCACATTATAAACGATGCCATTGAACTTCTCTTAAACAATTTTGACAAATTATGTGACTCGAAAGAAGCTTTTGATTCCTATGTTCTGTACCAAAGGCTGACTATGGATGTAATTGTCAGAACTGCCTTTGGTTTTCAGTCCGATATTCAGATAAATCCTAAAAGTTCTCTTTATAAATTGTGCAATATTTTTATAAATGCACCCTTTAGACATTTGTTTCTACTCTTTACAAGTGAGTCATTTTTATTTTATATAAATCAAACTTTCATAAATAAATTTCTACAAGAATAAGTGAAGCGTGCAATACCATAACGTTGTAAATGCCAAAAAAATAACTTTTCAGAAGAGGTAAAAAACACTTTTTCGAATAAATGAATTTATTTAACTTTACAATATAATAGTAAAACTTACTAGGTTACAAATTTTCTGGAAAATCAAATCGACGTAAATATAAGCCGTAACGTTTTAAACACCAAAAAGTCATGTGACTTGCACTCTGGCGTCTTAAGTGGCACTCACATGAATTCATCTTCAAAATACAGCCACTTATAGTGCCAATATCGCCGCAATATTCTTTTGTGGAAGAAAACATTGCATTTAGAATTTAATACTTCATTAAACCGTATGTAGAGAAAAATGGCATTTACAACATTATGTTATTGCACGCTTCAAGTATTAACATATAATAAATTTTGTAGCTTAATGTATCTTAAGTTTTCATTTTAATATTTATCAAGGATACCTTTCTTTAAACATATTTTTCCTTAGAATCTTTTGAGTTTCTCCAACCGTTTTTTCGACTTATTCGCATCATTTCTGGTGTGATAATCAACAGAAGAACGAATCCTCTGAAGGAATTGTTAGCTAATTGTGAAGCCATCATCAACTCTCGCAAGAATAATCCTACAGTAACGATACAAATTTCATACTTATTTAATATTCATTTTAATATATTGAATAGTTATGAAATTACTTTCTCTGGATGGAAAGACGGATAGAGACATCGCTGTAGACATTAGTAGATAGTACTTATCTAGAAATATGTTCAAACTGCTTATCAAAGAGAAAGCTAGTTTAAAGTTTTGTCATCAGGGAAATAATTGGCATTGGAAACACAATCTAAAACAAGGAAATCAAAATTTCATGTTTACTTATTTCACGAATATGTTATTGAAGCCACTGCTCAATGTGTTAGCCATCACTAAAGCTGACATGATGAAATGATGAACTATATGAGCAACTGATTTGTATGGCAGTACTGGACGTTCTGTTTAATATTCACTATCATATTCACAGACGAGTATACGCCATCGTCATACGCTGTCTTTCCGCAATCGCAATGATTGTAGAAACAGAGACTGAAGACAATTTAAAAAATACACGTAGTAGTACCTTTACTTTTTGACCATATTCAAAGGTATATTCCCGTTTCTGCAAAGACAGAATCAAATGCACGAAATTATGGTCCATGCTTTTATTCTCAGCATGTTGTTTCTAGCGACAGACAGAACATTGAGTAGCTGCTCTAATATTGTATTCGTGAAATCGATAAAGAAATTTTAATCTGTGTTTTCCTCTTTTTTTCTGGTCTTGCTTATTTTCCTGGTAACAAAATTTTATCTAATTTTTCCATAAAAATGCTTCTGCATATTCTACATAAGCCACCTGTCAACTTTGCAGCGATATCTCTCTTCCGTTTATCTATAAGAGACTCCAATTTAGGGAAATGTATCTTATAATCACTTAATACGTTAATTTTGGTTATACAGAAAAGACGAACAGATTTTCTCCAATTGATGATCGATGCCCGAATCGAAGATAAAGCCAACATTGATTATCAATCTCTAGCTGCTAGCGAAAGCGTCGACAAGGAAAGTAACGAGAAAGAATTAATTAACGGTATTTCCTGTGTTAAGAACATTAATATTCAATGAAAACTTCATTCCTTCTAAACTGGTATTTTCATTTGTAGGCACTTCCAACTCTAGATCATTGACCATGGACGAAATGGTAGGAAATGCACTCGTATTCCTTCTTGCTGGGTATGAAAAATTCAGAAAATTCAGTATGATTGACTTGTTTATGTTAATTTGGAGTGTTTTAGTTAGAAATATTTAACAAATGTTAGGTTCGAAACTACAAGTACAGCTTTATCTTACTGCTCTCTGATGCTGGCTAATTTTCCGGAAGTTCAAGAAAAGATTAGAAAAGAAGTAAATGATCTGCTGGAAAAAGAGGTAAATGATGGCCAACTATTGGATTATTTATCCTGTCGTTTCTGCATAATATAAATAATGTTTATACAGGAAGAATTAGATTACGGTTCAGTACAGAAATTGCAATATTTGGATCAAGTACTCAAGGAGATACTCCGTTTGTATCCGCCTATTTATTTGTGAGTAGATTTTTTTTTTACAGAAATAATAAAAGTTCACAAATTATTTGATAACAGTATTCTAGACTTGGCATATAAAATAATTGTATGCAAAATAGTTTAATATCAACACAAGTTTATTTGTAACATTTAAAATTACATCAGTTGTAATAATAGAAAGTAGTAAAATATTACAAAACATAAAATATTGTGGAGCTAAAGATTTGCGTAGATAACTGTTTATTAAAATAATAGTTATAAATTAATAATTTAAAACCAAACATAAATTCATATTATACAGACAGCTTCTTTCCTTCGATATAACTCAACACCACTCTATTTACTTCGACTATGTAAATCGGAGTTACAGAAAGTTAGATTAAACAAAATAAAATTTTATATATTAACCAACAAAATAAATTGTATCAATAATACAAGTTATATTAATAATACGTCGATTATAAATTCATTCAAAGCAATATTTTCTAGAAACTTTGAACTTTTCTCAGATTTGTAAACAGAAAAGCCTCCGATAATGTTCAATACGATAATATATTTATTCCGAAAGGAATGTCTATTCAAGTTCCAGTTTACTGGTTACATCGCGATCTGGATAACTGGGAAAATCCCGAAGAATTTCGTCCAGAAAGGTAAAATAAATGATGTAAATCTGTATTGTGTTAGTTTATTAACACACTTTGCACGCTGGTGTTACAGGTTTGCTCCAGAGAATGCAAACAAACGCAATCCTCTTTCGTGGCAGCCGTTTGGAGCGGGACCCAGAAACTGTGTTGGTATGAGATTCGCAATGATGGAAGTCAAATTAGTTTTGGCTCGGCTCTTACGAAAATATCGTATATTGCCGTGTGAAAAGACCGATAAGGTAATTGAGTAATTGATTTTTGAGTGCCACAGTCAGATTATAATAATAACTTAATTTAATAATTTATAAGATGATTAATTTCGTATTTTCTTTTAGTTTCCCATTCGGTTGAAACCTACGCCGGTTTCTATCAAACCGAAGTATGGAGCTTATTTTAAATTAGAGCGTTGCTGATCATTGTATATTCTGTTATAGAATTATCAAAACATTTTGCGAATTAAAATGTTTTTTGTTGAATATATGAATAATTTTCTACTAAATTTGAGAAGTTTATAAATAAAATAAATATAAAGAAAAAAACATTTTGAATTTTTAAATGAATTTGTAAACATTAAGGTAAGTTGAATGTATACGGTTGATAACGTGATGTACTAGATTAGGACGATAGTAGCAGTGACATGTTACAACATTACAATACAGTTAGTTCTACGTTGATTTCTTCAATGAAAATACTTAATTTTAATATAAAATACTAAATGATATTTTAAAATAACATGTTAAACTAAAATTTTTTTGCATGCTTCTAGTAATATTAATTCGTACCACGTAAAACGATTATCGTGTAAATCTACAATTAGGGTATTTAGACCTTAACACATGACAGAAAATCATTGAAACATTTCTTGAATTTAATAACATATCTTGAATGCAAGAGTAAATTTTCACAATTTTTCTTATAAATAAATATTTTTTTCTCACCATTAGAAAATTTCACTCATACTCGTGAAAAGTAAGTGAAAAAATTGAATAATTTTGCTACAAATGACACTTTATCTATTGTAAATGCCTATAGGTCTAAACTCCTTCCAAATGAAAGAAATTTAATGGCACGTAAATTAAAGCCGATTATAGTGAAATTAGCTAATATTACATCGAAGCAAAAAGTTATTGATAAAATTAAAGAGAATAAACTCAAAACTACTTCTAGTGCATGTAATATAATTAATAAAGAACATAAAATTTATATAAATGATCATCTTACACCGTATGTGATAGAATTTTTTTTATTTTTTTTATATAAAACTAAAGTTTCAAAGGAGGGGAAAATATTAAATACTTGGATTTGACATTTACTAAAAAGTATATAGATGTGATGAGAATATCTGTGAATAAAATTTTCATTGTGGTTGTTTATCGATCTCCGTCTTCAAACTACAGTTTATTTTTCGATGTAGTAATTTTTATAATTCATTTCAATATTACTAAATTAAGGGACTATAAATTACTTATCATTGGAGATTTTAAGATCTACGTTCCTCGATAGAGTTTTGGCAAGAGATTAAACTTCTGCCTATCGATATAGTTAAGAAATATCTCGAATTCGAATAGAGAACATTTTAATAATCAATTGAAATTTAGTTCCAAGACTACACTTCTTGAGATTTGTTGCTCCATCTTAGCACTACGAATTCTAATTTCCTTGTGTTTTATCTGACATTCGAAGCAGGATATGAATCATACAATGAAGCACTTTTCTGTAATGTAGCAATGGGAATTTCTATCACGTATTTCAATACAGTACAATTAATTATTTGGGGTGTTTTTGTTCTTATCGTTTTGATACTTAGAACTGGATTTCTGAGTTCATCCAAAGAACTTTTATTAATTAATAAAAACAGCAGAAATTTATTTTATCAAACAGAATCGATAATTCTTTGTCACGACAAATTGTAGCTGTTTATTAACCACATGAACAGAATCTACGACTTTGTATTTCTTGTCGAGTATTTTATACTATTGCTGCTTACGTGTTTATGCATTTATAGTTTATTATTTATAAAGATGCATACAGCCGTGACAATAATATTTATAGTTGCAACCTGAATTTTAATATCAGCATGCCTTTTAGCCGCCATTTCGATATCTGCATTTATTGCGGCCGTAAGTTTCTTCATTAATTATATAATTGTTTGTCTTATAATAAATGCATATTTATTGTTTCAAATGCAAAATGGCTTTCAAGAGATTCGAAAATACGCGAACTGTAATTTGGAGCTGGAGCAGAAGCTAAAAGTAAGCATTTATAAGGTGTATATTATTATAAAAGTAGTCACTTAAAAGTCTTAAATATTATTCATAAATATAAAGCAATGAAAATAATTATTACATTTATTTCAGACTTTTCTTTTTATATAAAGGCATTATATTTGAATAACCAATAAAGTTACTTCCTTTGTTAATTAATTTAAAAAATACAGTCTGGTAACTTCAAAATTATAAGCATGGATCAAATAACTAACCAAAAGCAACAGCATAGCAGCTTATTTATTGATCCATCCATATATCCTTATAATATTTCTGGTCAGTTGTTTTACAAGTAATAATGACACTTTTTAGATCAATAACATTGGATAACAACGTAAGAATATTGTATATAGTTTTTGCCGATTTTGCTAGTGTATTTTGCAGTGAGTGTAAGTCAGAAGACAACAGCCCAATTTATAAACTGCACACCAACATCCACAAGAACCACCCAAATGTTGTATTTGAAGTGTGGGATTGAAGTATTATCTCGCTGAAACATTCAGAATGTGTTTCCAGTTTTTTCACCAAATAAAAGATGGTTTACAAGCAATATTTGATTAAGCAGTAGCATTGACTTTACCATTAACATAAACAACATTAGGATTAAATTCTGCTTAAACCATAACCCACAATGGCATTGATGTCAGTTGACTTGACTTCGTACTCTCTACATCAATTTATAGTTAATTGCAATTAGAATTTGTTAATGTCGTTTACATTAGAGTCTCATTAGAATTAAAATCGTATAGATGAATTCTAACGTAATTTTATTGACAATGAGTGCAAAAATTTTGCTAACTTACCGAATTTTTATCTCTATTATCCAATGAAAAATATTTTTATAGTTACGGAGATTTTTTTTTTTTTTGATTCTAATGAAACCGTGTTGTTGTTATTAAGCTGTTTCTTTGCAGACACACTAAGGTGACATATATCAACACTTGGCAACTTATTGACTATTTATTCAGTTGGGACGCCTTTTACATTACGCGTTTCGGGCATTGGCCCCTCTTCAGCCAACTAGACATAAAAAATAAAACATAAGAAAATTTGTACAAAAATACGCGAGTAGATAAACTGTTTTTTTAAAAAAATTTTTTAAAAACATACCATAAAACACAAACCACTATTGTACAGATGTCGAACAGGATGGACAATTTCATATTTCATATACAACTTGGATAACAAACAAGGTCGACGATAATCATTGGAGAACAAACAGGGTCGTAGATAGCAGCTTGACTACTGGGCTTTTAAATATGGCTTTCTTATANGCCACAGTCAGATTATAATAATAACTTAATTTAATAATTTATAAGATGATTAATTTCGTATTTTCTTTTAGTTTCCCATTCGGTTGAAACCTACGCCAGTTTCTATCAAACCGAAGTATGGAGCTTATTTTAAATTAGAGCGTTGCTGATCATTGTATATTCTGTTATAGAATTATCAAAACATTTTGCGAATTAAAATGTTTTTTGTTGAATATATGAATAATTTTCTACTAAATTTGAGAAGTTTATAAATAAAATAAATATAAAGAAAAAAACATTTTGAATTTTTAAATGAATTTGTAAACATTAAGGTAAGTTGAATGTATACGGTTGATAACGTGATGTACTAGATTAGGACGATAGTAGCAGTGACATGTTACAACATTACAATACAGTTAGTTCTACGTTGATTTCTTCAATGAAAATACTTAATTTTAATATAAAATACTAAATGATATTTTAAATGTTCTGATAAAAATAAATGTTAAACTAAAATTTTCTTGCATGCTTCTAGTAATATTAATTCGTACCACGTAAAACGATTATCGTGTAAATCTACAATTAGGGTATTTAGACCTTAACACATGACAGAAAATCATTGAAACATTTCTTGAATTTAATAACATATCTTGAATGCAAGAGTAAATTTTCACAATTTTTCTTTTAAATAAATATTTTTTTCTCACCATTAGAAAATTTCACTCATACTCGTGAAAAGTAAGTGAAAAAATTGAATAATTTTGCTACAAATGATACTTTATCTATTGTAAATGCCTATAAGTCTAAACTCCTTCCAAATGAAAAAAATTTAATGGCACGTAAATTAAAGCCGATTATAGTGAAATTAGCTAATATTACATCGAAGCAAAAAGTTATTGATAAAATTAAAGAGAATAAACTCAAAACTACTTCTAGTGCATGTAATATAATTAATAAAGAACATAAAATTTATATAAATGATCATCTTACACCGTATGTGATAGAATTTTTTTTATTTTTTTTTTAATATAAAACTAAAGTTTCAAAGGAGGGGAAAATATTAAATACTTGGATTTGACATTTACTAAAAAGTATATAGATGTGATGAGAATATCTGTGAATAAAATTTTCATTGTGGTTGTTTACCGATCTCCGTCTTCAAACTACAGTTTATTTTTCGATGTAGTAATTTTTATAATTCATTTCAATATTACTAAATTAAGGAACTATAAATTACTTATCATTGGAGATTAAGATCTACGTTCCTCGATAGAGTTTTGGCAAGAGATTAAACTTCTGCCTATCGATATAGTTAAGAAATATCTCGAATTCGAATAGAGAACATTTTAATAATCAATTGAAATTTAGTTCCAAGACTACACTTCTTGAGATTTGTTGCTCCATCTTAGCACTACGAATTCTAATTTCCTTGTGTTTTATCTGACATTCGAAGCAGGATATGAATCATACAATGAAGCACTTTTCTGTAATGTAGCAATGGGAATTTCTATCACGTATTTCAATACAGTACAATTAATTATTTGGGGTGTTTTTGTTCTTATCGTTTTGATACTTAGAACTGGATTTCTGAGTTCATCCAAAGAACTTTTATTAATTAATAAAAACAGCAGAAATTTATTTTATCAAACAGAATCGATAATTCTTTGTCACGACAAATTGTAGCTGTTTATTAACCACATGAACAGAATCTACGACTTTGTATTTCTTGTCGAGTATTTTATACTATTGCTGCTTACGTGTTTATGCATTTATAGTTTATTATTTATAAAGATGCATACAGCCGTGACAATAATATTTATAGTTGCAACCTGAATTTTAATATCAGCATGCCTTTTAGCCGCCATTTCGATATCTGCATTTATTGCGGCCGTAAGTTTCTTCATTAATTATATAATTGTTTGTCTTATAATAAATGCATATTTATTGTTTCAAATGCAA